AGGGCTCAAACCATATATCATCAGAATTTGGACTCTGAATCTCAGCACCGCCATTTCCTGTACAACCCTCCTCCTAAGGTTCACGTGGTAGCCCCTAACTGCTTGAGGCTCTCACCTTGTGATTCTGAGATGGCCTACACAGCTGCAGTTTCAAGTCTTTTCTTGTTTGTACATTCAGTCAGAAGGAATAAAAGAACTTTCCAAGAGTGCCCACAAATATACTGATTTGCCTAGCTGGGTTGCATGCTCATCCTTAATTAGGTCATGTGGCCAGGGTACTGGATTTTCTGACTAACGTAGGCTGTTCACATGTTCCATTCCAGGACTGAAGAATCCCCAGGGTGACTGCTGGAGATTGGCTGATGGATGTACAAATAAGGAATGCATAGTTTAGGCAGATAGAGCAATTTGCTGAGTAGCAGGCACCTACAAAGTATAAAAAAAAAAAAAAGCTGATGGGTTAAAAGACAAGTTTATTGTATGCAAAAAATAGAAATCCATGCATACTCTTCCATAATATATACTTCTCTTGAGTATTTTGAAGACTCCTGATATGCAGACTTCAAAATTTTTTGCAACAAAATAAATCTATCTTTTAATTCATTTTATAAGAACATGTTGAAATACTTAAGCTTACTTAATTTCATTATTAACCTAATCTGGCTTACCAAAAATGTGAGTCTATTTTTAGTCTGTTTTTACAAATTTCAAAATAGGAATGATCAGTTTATAAAATTATTTCCACTAAGATAAAATAAGAATTTTTTAAAAATGAAGAATCATAAGTGGAGTCTGGGAGTGAGCATTTAGCCTAGCAGTTTAGCAGTTAAGACAACTTGGTCCCATATTGTAGTACCTTGATTTGATTCTCTGCACCCGCTTTTTTTTTTTTTTTTTTTTTTTTTGGCAGGCAGAGTGAACAGTGAGAGAGAGAGACAGAGAGAAAGGTCTTCCTTTTTTCCATTGGTTCACCCTCCAATGGCCACTGCAGCTGGTGCACCACGCTGATCCGAAGCCAGGAGCCAGGTCTTCTCCTGGTCTCCCGTGGGGTGCAGGGCCCAGGCACTTGGGCCACCTCCACTGCACTCCCGGGCCACAGCAGAGAGCTGGCCTAGAAGAGGAGCAACCAGAATCCAGCGCCCATATGGGATGCTGGCGCTGCAGGCAGAGGATTAGCTTATTGAGCCGCGGCACCAGCCATGCCAGCTTTTTTGATTTGATTCTCTGGTGCCAGCTTCCTGCTAATGCAGACCCTGAAAGGCAGCAAGGAAGGCTCAAGTAAGTGGGTTCCTGTCACCATGCTGGAGATTCAAACAGCACTGCTGGCTCCCAGCTTTGACCTTGGCCCAGCTCTGGCCACTGTAGGCATTTAGGGAGTAAGTCAGTGGAAAGGAGCACACTATGTTTCTTAAATAAATGAATAAATAAAACATAAGTAGAGTCTAAAATTATCATAGATATAGCTCTTATTACAAATTTTTCTCAATTTTTAGGACCTAATGATCAATTTCTAGTACAACTTGGCTGGTAAATTATTCAGACCTTGCTTTCAAGGAAGTTAAAAAAAATGACTATTTTACTGTTTTCTTTACACTTTCAGCCTAATTTTACTCCAATAAAAGTACAACATAAGATTGACCCAACAGGGTTCAGTGCTGTGGTGTAGCTCATTGAGCTACAACTTGCAACACCAGTACCCCTTATCAGGGTACCAGTCCCAGCCACTCTGCTTCCAGTTCAGTTCTGGCTAATATGCTTGGGAAAGCAGCAGAAGTTGCCCAAAGGCTTGGGCCCCTGCCATCCACATGAGAACAGGACGGAGCTCCTGGCTCCTGGCTTCAGCCTGCACCAGCCTCAACTGTTGAAGCCACTTAACAAGAAAGCCAGAGGATGGAAGAAATTCATTCTCTCTCCCTCTCCTCTCCTTCCCTTTCCTCTTCCTTTGTCTCTCCCTCCCCCAACTCCTCCCCCTCCCTCCCCTTTTCTCTCTCTCCCATTCAAATCAATAAATAAAATAAATCTTTAAAAACAGACTAACACTGGGGCCAACACCGTGGCTCACTTGGTCAATCCTCCACCTGTGGCACCAGCATCCCATATGGGCACTGGGTTCTAGTTCCGGTTGCTCCTCTTCCATTCCAGCTCTCCGCTACAGCCTGGGAAAGCAGTACAAGATGGCCCAAGTGCTTGGGCCCCTGCACCCACATGGGAGACCAGGAAAAAGCACCTGTCTCTTAGCTGCAGATCGGCGTAGCACCGGCCATAGTGGCCATTTGGGGAGTGAACCATCGGATGGAATCCCTTTCTCTCTGTCTCTGTCTATAACGCTATCTGTCAAATAAAAAAAAAAAAAACAGGCTAACACAATAAAGTCATTTTTTAAAAAGAAGAAAAAATCTGCTACTGACTTCTACTTCTGGCCATGATGGAGTGTGAGAGATAAGATTTAAATTCTTACCTTAAAAATTAAAAAAAAAAAAAAAAATATATATATATATATATATATATATATATAATAGGAGCTGGGATTGTGGTGTTAGCTGGTAAAGCTGTCACCTTTGACACCAGCATCCCATATGGCCAACTGCTCCTGTCTGACTGCTCTACCTCTTGATGCAGCTCCTGCTAATGGCCTGGGAAGAAACAACAGAAAATGGCTCAATGGTCTGGGCCCCCTTCACCCATGTTGGAGATTCAGAGAGCTTCTGGCCTGGTTCAGCCCTAGCCCTTGTGGCCCTCTGAGAAGTGAACCAGAAGGTGGAAGAGCTTTGTCTCTCCCTCTCTCTCTCTCTTACTCGCTCAAATAAATAAATAGATCTTTAAAAAAAAAAAAAAAAAGAGGAAGAAGTTAAGACAAAATACGAGAGAGGAAAGACCTTCAGGTAGAGAGAGCTTCAGAAGAGCTGGCACTGTGGCGTAGTAGGCTAAGCCTCTGCCTATGGAGACTGCATCCCATATGGCGTCAGTTCATGTGCCACCTGCTCCTCTTCTGATCCAGCTCTCTGCTGTGGCCCGGGAGTGTAGTGGAAGATGGCCCAAGTGCTTGGGCCCCTGCACCCACGTGGGAGACCTGGAAGGAGCTCCTGGCTACATACATGGCTTTAGGTTGGCCCAGCTCCAGCCACTGCAGCCATTTTGGGGGGGGGGGTGAATCAGAGGATGGAAGACCTCTCTCTGTCTCTCCCTCTTTCTGTCTGTAACTCTACCTATCAAATAAATGAAATCTTAGAGAGAGGGAGCTTCAGAGATCTAGAATGAGTTCTTTTTGAGTATTTACCTGAGTAGTGATCGCTGCAGCTAAAGCTGCTGCCTGCAGTGCTGGCATCCCATATGGGCACCAGTTCGAATCCTGGCTGCTCCACGTCCGATCTTCTCTGCTATGGCCCAAGCCCTTGGGCCCCTGCACCCACGTGGGAGACCCAAAGAAGCTCCTGGCTTCAGATTGGCACAGCTCCGGCCATTGCGGCCAGTTGAGAAGTGAACCATCGGATGGAAGACCTCTCTCTCTCTCTCTCTCTCTCTCTGCCTCTCCTTCTCTATCTGTGTAACTCTGATTTTCAAATAAATAAATAAATCTTTAAAAATAAGAAAAGAAAGTACCCAAAGCGGGGGACTGAGCCACAGAATCATTCTGGTCTCACAAGATTGGAAAGGGTTGAAGTTCCTAACAGCCACTGTGGAGGAATTTCTTTTTTATTTTTATTTCTTTTTATTTTTTTAACTCTCAAAAGAAAAAGATTTATTTATTTATTTGAAAGGCAGAGTTAGAGAGGCAGAAGCAAAGAGATAGCTATCTTCCATCTGCTGGTTCACTCCCCAAATTGTTGCAACAACTGGAGCTGGGCCCATATGAAGCCAGGAGCCAGGAGCTTCTTCTGGGTCTCCCACGCAGGTGCAGAGGCCCAAGCACTTGGGCCATCTTCTGCTGCTTTCTCAGGCCATAGCAGAGTGGGATTGGAAGTGGAGCAGCCAGGACTCAAACTGGCGTCCATATGGGATGCCAGCAGTGCAGGTGGCAGCTTTACCCACGACGCCACAGCGCCGACCCAGAGGGACCTCTTAAGCCTGGATATGGAAGACATTGGGTAGTTAGGCAGTGGGAACAACACGGTCTTGGAGAGCAAGCCCAGAAAGCAACACACTATTTCCAAGTCACTTAAACGTGACGCACACAAAGCTCAAAATCATTAAAGAAAGATGAAGGAGCCAGCACCCAGCAGCAAGGCCAGACATCCAATCACAATTCACCAGGCACAGAAGAGGAGAACGCAGCCCATAATGGGGAAAAAACGAACGAACAGAACCAAAATGGCCCAGACCATACAATTCCTAAGCAAGTCTTCGTAGACAAAAATGAAGCCCACGCCCAAGTATGAGCTCCGGAACACACACACACACAGAGCCGTGTCGAAGGCCTAGAAACACAGCGTATGGCATCACAGCCAGCAAAGACGCAGCCACAGAAATCGCCCAAAATAAAACCGGGGGTGGGGGTGGGGTGTGAAAAATAGCGCCTTCGTGAGCTTGGCGCAGCTGATGCAAACGCAGGTTCAGTTTAGGAAATGCTGGGGTGAGTACAAACTGCAAATGGCCTCCAAGGCCAGTGTAGACTGCCGGGCGCACACGACACGCTGCGGCCACGCCTGTCTGCGTTGCTCCCGTCGTGCCCGCTGCCTTCGAGCGCCCGTCCTCGCGTACCTCACCACAGACGCCGACGGCACGCGGTGCGGCGCCATGGGCGCACTGCCAAGGGCGGGGAGAAGCCCGCCAGAGAGCGTCACGTGACGCCACGGGAGCTGGCGCCGCCCTCTGGGCAGGACGGGCGGAGCTGGCGAGCGAGCATGCGCCCTGAGGGAGCGACCGCCGTCGTCCCGATCGTGGGCGCGGCGCGCGGCGCAGGGAGCATGCGCGCTGGAGAGTGCGCGCCCTGGGGTCGGACAGTCGGGGCGGGGCGGGGCGGGGCCGGCCGGCTGCGCGCGGGGGAGGGAGCGCGGAGTCGCTGGTTGCCAGGGTAACGGCGTGCGGCCGGCCGCGCGGTCCCGGGGCGTAGCTCGCGCGGTTGGCGGCGTCCGTTTGCTGGCTACCGGCGTATCCCCAGAGCGCAGTGGATGGGCGACCCGAGCGAGAAGGCGGGAAGGCGAGGTGGGACGCACCGGGGAGCGCTCCGGAGGCCCAGCACTGCGCTGGGAGGCCGCGCTCGGCAGGTCCGTGGGCCTGAGGAGCGGCGGGGCGATGGCCGACTCCGCATGTGTCCTGAGAGCGCCTGGGCTTTTCCGCCGGCTCCAGAGCCTGCTGTTGGGTTGAGGTGCTAATGATGAGTTGCCCTCGGGAACAGTACTCGGTGTGCTTAGTCTCCACGGAAGCGAGTTTTAGGTCATGTGCGGTAGCTGGTTCTGTGTGAACGGGGCGCATTTATGCTGTTCTGAAACCCTTGGGAATAATTACCCGGCATCAGGGATTTCTCTAATACTACCCGTTACAGAAACGGGGAAGCCATGCAAAGCTGGTTTCGGTTTGTGAAGAGGATTTTCACAATGTGTGCGTGCTTCCGGCTGTCGGAAGCGGAGTGTCACAAAGTGCCTAAACAAGGAATGCACGAGGTAGAAGAGGTACAACCCCGTGTAGAATTAGATTTTTTGAGGAGTGTGAGTGCGTGTGTGTGTTCGTTAGCTTTTGGTCCCTTAGACAAATGACTGCGGCACCACAACGGTATTTTTTGGCTTCCAAGCTTTACCTCCTTTAAATAATTTTTAATACTGAGATTTATAAAGATAGGGCGTACTACTCACTTTCATTTTTGATACTGATCCAGGGTTAACTCTGCCACCCTGCTGTTGCCACAGAGTCGTGTCTGTTTTCTCATTTGTAAAATGGTATTGGACTACATACCTGAAGAGTTTCCAATATCTTTAAATGTTAAATTCTAAAATTGAATGACACTATAGAACTTAAAAGGGACACAATTTTGAAAAGGTCTTCTCTTGGCATGAATCACATTGCCCATAGGTATGAATGAGATGAAATTGTAGACTACAACTAGGTATGAGTATTTAGCATGTTTTAGTATGATACCAGCTGTATCTACTGCCATGTTGGTGGCATATTGAAAGTAGAAATTTCTAGTAGTGATCCTTGAGAATTTCAAATACCTTCTGTATCATAAACTTCTTTCCTACATCCTTGATGCCAGAATTGAAAGGGAACAAGAAAAGAATTACAGTACAGATGACCATGTAGCTTCTAAAGGATTTTAGCAGTTACTCATCTTTATTTGGAAGCCTTGGGTATCTCATAAACTGATTTCCATTATCTTTTCTCTCTCTACATGCAGTTCTTCCTAAGTTTACTCTTCCTGTTGAACGAAGTGAATCTGCATATTGGTCCTAAGAAGTATATTGGGATTAATTCCTTTCTATTCTTACAGTTACTCTTTCAATACATTTTGGGCTCTTGTCTCCATAAAATACAGGCTTGTCCAAAAACTAGAAGAGTTAATTTTAAATGCTGCTTCTACCAGCTTTGAAGGCAATTAGAGCAAGAATAACCATTAAGTCTTCTGTGTGAAAGATCCTTGGATTCTTCACTGAGTTTGCCTCAGTTAATCCTTTCACTAACCCTGCAACATCAGTATTACTGTGCCTGTTTTATAGAAGAGGAAACCAAAACGCAAACACATCCAACACCTTGCCCAGCAGAGAGGGCAGTCAGTGACAAGGCTGGAATCCCAAGTTCATCTGCTTCCCACGTACTGCATTTCTGTACACTGGTAGATTGAAGTTAGCCGAAGCTTCTCTTCTATTCCAGTTTCTGCAATGTTCCTTTTCCCCTCTAAATCGTAAACATGTCATACCTTTGTTTTCCTGATACCAGTAGGGTGACATATTCATTTCCCTTTATCCTTTAAATCTTTCTTTAAATGTGACCTATTTAGGAGGTTTTTCATTTTTTAGTCTCTGAGCCTTCCAGTGTGTGATTTTATTTAGTTTGAAGTTTTGTTGTACTTAGGTATATTTTTTGCCAGTGGATTGTTCTCCTGTGTATTGCTCTGTGTTCTCTCCAGATCAGTCACTAGCTGTTTAAGGACAAGATGGAATCAAGTCATAACTGGTTTGGATTCCTCCCCTTCTTCGAGAATCAGAATGCGTAGCTCAGTGCCTCACTGTAATCATTCCTATTACTTCATTAGCAATTAGACCCTGTAAACTTCATTAAAAAAAGACTTATGTACATTCCACCCTTGACTTTCTGTTAATTGTTTTTACAGAATGAAAGGAATGTAATATGTGATGAAAGGATTTGTTACGTTCAAACAACCTGTTCAGATTCAACATGTTAAAAAAAAAGGTATATTATCCTCTTTTAAAACATCCACATTGTTTTACTCATGAAATATATCTTAATGCAGCCATTTGAGAATATAAAAAACAGTTTGCAAACCTTGTTTCAACTAGGTGTTGTCAGCGAGAATGGGAGATACTGGGTATGGTGTGGGAGCAGTGGACACGGGGGTGAGAGAAGGAGTCTACTCTAGTACTTAAAGTATCCCTGTCTTTTCTGGGTGCTAGCTTTTATTTGGTATGGGAGATGTATTATGTTTTCACACATCAAATATGCTTAAGTGCAAGACTTTCTTTGGTATTTGCCTGGAGTCTAAGATAATTATAGTGAAACAGAATGGGTTTAGTCATGTATTTGTTTATAGGCAGTAATGAATTTATTCATATTTTATTATAATTAAGTCTTTAGTAATTTTAAAAACAGATATTTCTGTGTTGTTAGCATAAACAATGAGACTGAGGTTTTCTCCCACTCACATAACAATAGATTTAATGGGCCATCCAGGTTGAATATTAAAGCCTCAGGTTTTTCCCAGCTGATGCGTTACATAATGTTCCTGTGAATAAGACTTTTTGTCCTCCTTTTTAGGGTCATTCATCTAAAAAAGATAACTTAGCAGTTACTGCAGTGGCTCTGCAGGATCACATTTTGCATGATCTTCAACTGCAAAACCTTTCAGTAGCTGATTATTCGAAAACAAAAGTACAAAAGAAAGAGAACAGATCTAAGTCTCTAAAAAAGGATGCAAAAGCAACAATAGATACTGGACTTAAAAAATCTACACAGAGTCCTAGAGTGGAGGATCCAGAAAAAGAATATGTTCTTGATCCAAAACCACCACCATTAACTTTAGGTAAGCTGATCTGTTTGTTCATGTCTTAGTTTATGAACTAATGATTCTATTGACATTAATAGTATAATTTTGGTGCAGTATAGAAATAATTTGGTTATACAGAAAAGTATGTATGTACTGAAGTTCAAAAATCCTAACACTTTGAGTAAGAAAATAATGATAAGCAGAATAAGTAAAAATAGTAGAGTAGAAAAAAATATCCATTAATCCACACTAATACAAATAATTAATAAATGGTGAAGAAGGTTTATAAAATAGCAACTAATAAGTATAGCAGACAGGGTGATAGGAAATGATCATTTGGCAAACGCCACAGAGATTATCATCAGTAGATGCTGAAACTTCTGTCCTGAGACACAGGATAGCCACATAGTCTCATACTGTCTTCCCACACGTATGTATTCATTGCAAAAGGAGAAAGAGTAGCTTCACACTGGTAAGACTTGGCAAACAGTACCTTCACCAAGTAAAATGATTTCATCACTAAGGACACATGCCGGCTTCCATTGCCTTCTGATAAAAGGTGTAACACCATTTGTATAGCCCTGCTGGCCCGCTTTTCCTTACTTTAACTGTAATTCCTGAGGGCAGCTTCTTTGGGAAACAGAAGGTTTATTTCAGCTCTCAGTTTGGCGATTAGAGGATTGTGCAGTCCCGTAGTCTGGGGTGGCACCTGATGGAGACTGGTCTTGGTGGGTGCAGAGTCACTATCTCCCGGTGGGGCAGAAAGCAAACAGCAAACCTAGGCTCACATAATCAAAACCTCTCAGGAAAAACTCTCTCCAAGGGCACGCCCCTCAGTGACCCAAAGAGCTCCCACCAGCCCCACATCACAGATGCTATCATTAGATAAAATCTCCACCATTTTTGTTTTGAAGATTTATTTATTTATTTGAAAGTCAGAGTTATATACATAAAGAGAGAGAGAGAGAGAGAGAGGTCTTCCATCCGCTGGTTCATTCCCCAATTGGCCAGAGATGTGCCGTTCCGAAGCCAGGAGCTCCTTCTGGATCTCCCACGTTGGGGCAGGGGCCCAAGGACTTGGGCCATCTTCCACTGCCTTCCCAGGCCACGGCAGAGAGCTGGATCAGAAGTGGAGCAGCCAGGACCTGAACCGTGCCCATATGGGATGCCAGCACTGTAGGCAGTGGCTTTACCCACTACACCACAGCACCAGTCCCAAGTTTCCACCCTTAATCCATCAACCATTAGCATCAAGATGTCAGAGTTTACACAGCTGCCCAAGTTTTGGATAGACCTGTGCTGCTGTACCCATAACAGTGGCATTCTTGTCAATAATATCTAAGTGGGATCATGAGGAAACTTCAAACAAATCCAAATTGGGAGACATTCTACACAATTTCTAACTAGTACCCTTCAAAAGTATCAGCTCAAAAAATGTAAATAAAGAGCTAGAAGTTGTCCTAGATTAGGAGACTAAGGGAACATGACAACTAAATGTAATCAAGAATTGTGGCTCAGATCCTAGTTCAGAAATAAAGGACACCTAGTGTAAGGTTAACTATACTATCATTAAGTAAACTGAAAATAGATCTTTGTAAAAATTAAGAGTGGGATGGGAGAGGGAGGAGGAAGAAGGGTTGGAGTGTGGGTGGGAGGGAGGGTAGGGGGAGAAGTAGGACTATGTTCCTAAATCTGTACATATAACCTAAATAAAATCTTTTAAAAAAAGAAATAAAGGACACCAGTGAGATAAATTTGAATGACGTATCTACACTATAATAGTGTTCCTTTGCACGGGAGATAAGTATCAAGATCCCCAGTGGATGCTTCAAACCGTAGATAGCACCAAATCCTGTATATGATTTTCCATATATATACACCTATAAAGTTTAATATATAAATTAGGCACAGGACAAGATTAGCAATGATGACAAAATAAAATAATTGCAGCATTACAGTGTAATGAAAGTTGTATGAATGTTATTACTGTACTTAACTTTCTCGTGGTAATGAGATGATACAGTGGCTTCGTGATGAAATGACGTGAATGCCATAGGCATTGTGACATGGTGTAGAGCTACTATTGATCTTCTGATATGACATCGGAAGGAGGATCACTTACTTTGGGTGATCTTGGGTTTTTGAGCCATGATGATATCGATGGATGGATGTCAGGTACAGTGTTGACATTTGGGAAACCTCAGTGGTTAAAAGATTTTTTTGTCAAAACCTTTTGGCAGGACATTATAATTAGAAGTTGTCTTTTTCTTTTTAACTCATTGAAGTGTTGCTGTAAAGGTTGTTATCAGTGATCATATTGGTAACTTCAGTCTGCATTCCATCCTTGGATCATATTCCATTATTTTGGCCTTTAATGTCTGTGCCTTTTTTTTTTTTCTTTTACTTTTTTTTTTTTTTTTTTTTTTTTGACAGGCAGAGTGGACAGTGAGAGAGAGAGAGACAGAGACAAAGGTCTTCCTTTGCCGTTGGTTCACCCTCCAATGGCTACCGCGGCCGGCGCACCGCGCTGATCCGATGGCAGGAGCCAGGTACTTACCCTGGTCTCCCATGGGTGCAGGGCCCAAGGACTTGGGCCATCCTCCACTGCACTCCCGGGCCACAGCAGAGAGCTGGCCTGGAAGAGGGGCAACCAGGACAGAATCCAGTGCACCAACTGGGACTAGAACCCAGTGTGCCGGCATCGCAAGGCGGAGGATTAGCCTAGTGAGCCGCGGCGCCGGCCCCATTATTTTGGCCTTTAATGTCTGTGCCTTTCAAAACACTTCTGCAATTTTCACTATAATTTCCAGATCGCTGGTTCTGCTTCAATTTCTTCTTCATCTTCTTCCTTTGTAGAGGATACAATACGTTTCCTCCTTAGTTAACACTTCTTTTTTTTTTTTTTTAATTATTTATTTATTTATTTAAGAGGCAGAGTTACAGACAGAGAGAGGGAGAGACAGAGAGATCGATCTTCTATCTACTGGTTCACTCCTCAAATGGCCACAAGTGTCAGAGCTGGGCCATTCTGAAGCCAGGAGCTTTTTACAGGTCTCCCACGTGGTGCAGAGGCCCAAGCACTTGGGCCATCTTCCACTGTTTTCCCAGGCCATTAGCAGGGGGCTGGATCAGAAGTGGAGCAGCCAGTACTCAAACTGGCATCCATAAGAGATGCCGGCACCACAGGTAGAAGCTTAACCTACTACACTGCAGCAAGGGCCCCTCGTTAACACTTCTTGATAGCCTTCAATATATTCTTCCACTTTTTCTTCAAGCATGTTAGCAAATCTTTCTCTCCCAAGTTGTCTTACAATGTGCATGATTTTCCTAAATTTTCCATGAATCACCAGAAAACCTTTAAAATCGTTCCTGAGTTTGCCCCGTAAATTCTTCCAGCAGTCAGTTACAGCTTCTAGCTTTAATTCACCTATTGCACCTTTGATGAGCATTATTGTGTCAACCGTGGTGAGTGATTTGCAGTACACCATTATGTCTACGTTAAATTGCTGTTCAAATACAATAAAGTACCAGGGATGTGTGTGGCTTTAACGAATCGAATAATACCCTGGTCAAGAAACTGAAGCAATATGGTTGTATTTGGAGGGGAAAATACAACTTCAACATTTTCATAGCAAAGAGATTCGGGAAGACCTGATACATTGATTTTTTTTTAAAGATTTATTTATTTATTTGAAAGTCAGAATTACACACAGAGAGAAGGAGAGGCAGAGAGAGAGAGAGAGAGAGAGGTCTTCTTTCTGCAGATTCACTCCCCAGTTGGCTACAACAGCTGGAGCTGTGCCGATCCGAAGCCAGGAGCCAGGAGCTTCTTCCCGGTCTCCCACGCAGGTGCAGGGGCCATGTACTTGGGCCATCTTTTACTGTTTTCCCAGGCCATAGCAGAGAGCTGGATTGGAAATGGAGCAGCCAGGACTTGAACTGGTACCCATATGGGATGCCTGCACTGCAGGTGGCAGCTTTACCAGCTACACCACAGCGCTGGCTCGATACATTGCTTATTATTAAAAGGAATTTAAATTCCAACCCTTCATCTTTCAAATATTTTTTATTTTTACCTCTGGGATGAAGCAGTGCTGGAACTGTTCCATGAACAAAGTGATTGTCACTCACACTTTCTGATGATGTTGCAAGAACACAGGCAGATAATTTTTGTTTGTTGAGAATATGTGTTTTCTTCGTTCTGTACCCTATGCCTGCCTTTATCATCTGCCCTTTAGCACTGCCACTTGGTGTCAGAGTTAACTGTCCTTTCATGTTTTAAGCCCTCACACCTTTTTTGAGTATATGTTCTACCGAGCACCTTCTTCCAGAAGAGCCTGATTTCATTGCTTTAGATCGTATCCCTTCTCCTTAACCAGTGTCTTCAACTTACTGGAAATGTAGCAAGACATCTTCACTGGCTGATGCAGCCTCTCTAGCAATAGTTGTAACTTTTGTTCCAGACTTATTTCTGAGTCTGTGTAACCACCCTTCATTTGCAGTACATGGCTTTGGGTCCGTCACTTCAGGGGATTCCTTGCTTAAGTCATATAGGTTCAGTGCTTTCGGGTGCAACAAACACATTGTTGTCAGTTGGAACATGACTTCTGTTCATTTCTTCCACCCACAAATTTAATGCTTTTTCCATCTTAATTAAGCACTTATGTACTATAACCATAACTTACTCAGATTGAGGTATAATTGCAAAACAAGCATAATTTCTTTCTCTTTCTTCATAATTTCACGGGTAGATTCTTTAGATCTTAGCAACTCCCATGTGATTCTTTTTTCTTATTAAGTCAAGAACTTTCACCTTTTCACTTAAAGGAAGCACTTTGTGGCTTCCCTTTGGCATATCCAAATTGCCAGCATCACTACTCTTGTGCTTTGGGGCCATCGTTAAGTAAAATATGGGTTACTTGAATACCAGCACTATGCTACTATGACAGTTGATAGATGGCTCCTTGATTACTAATGGGAGGGTAGCATCTACAGCGAGGATCTGCTAGACTAATTCATGCCGTAGGCAGAATGGTATGGGATGGAGCAGGATTTCAGCACACTACTCAACACAGTAGGCAATTTAAAGCTCTGAATTGTTTATTTCTAGAATTTTCATTTCATATTTTTAAACCATGGTTGACCACAGGTAACTGAAACCACAGAAATCAAAACTGCAAATGGGGACTAGGGGGCACTACTGTAATTGATATATCAACATTAATTTCCTGGTCTTGACAGTTATCGCATGGTTATGTAAATGTTAAAATTTCACATAAAAGGTATATGAGAATTCATGAAGCTGCCTTTCCAGATTATTTTAAGTTGAAAGAAATAGATTTTTAAAATGATGATGGGTGTGGAAAATAGATTTGCTTGGGGATACTGTATCCTAGTGCAGGTCAGGTAGAAAAAAATGGAAGACCTGTGCGTTGGAGTTGGCACAAGGTAGAGAGGAAACTGCTCCCATGACGTTGCCCTCTGGATACCTTTATAATGTTTTCCTCTAAACTTCTGCTAATAACGCTAGCTGTCTTCTAGAAAATGGCATGACAGAGAACTTGCTGAAGCTTGGAATAATGTTAGACAGTAATTTGTAGTGAATATCTTTGCCTGTATATACAGACTCTATGTAGCAGGTCAAATAGCTTTATCATAGTTAAGCTTAAAATGTTTTCAGATAAGATTTAAATGAGACATTAGGAAGAACTCAGTTTAGAAAACAAGTAAAGTTATAAATCGGGTTTTTTAAGGAGCTCTTAATGAAAAAACTTTATTATGCAGATAAGTACCAATGAGGTGGAACCATATGCTCATCACTGTTATCTACCCATAATATTCCACTTCAGTTTTCTGACTTTTGTTGTAACATTTTGTCTTATTTCTCTGCAGAAATCCTTGTAGGTTGATTTTTTATATGTTTAGTATTTGGGTTTAAGGGAGGTGGTAGAAGCTGATACTTTGGTTTCTACCAGCATTTTGCCCAGTGTATTGCAGGTACTTCTCAGAACTGAGCAGAGAGTTCCCGACTGGGGAAATTTATTCTTTTTTTAAAAAAATATTTATTCATTTATTTGAAAGGCAGAGTTAACAAAGAGGCAGAGAGAGAGAGACAGAAAGAGAGAGAGAGAGGAGAGAGAGAGAGAGGTCTTCCATCCCATGGTTCATTCCCCGAGTGGATGCAACAGCTGGAGCTGGGCTAATTGAAGCCAGGAACCTCTTCAGGGTCTCCCACGTGGGTGCAGGGGCCCAAGGACTGGGCCATCTTCTACTGCTTTCCCAGGCCACAGCAGAGAGCTGGATCAGAAGTGGAGCAGCCAGGGCTCGAACCAGCATCCATATGGGATGCCTGCACTGCAGGCAGCAGCTTTACCCGCACACCAAAGCACCAACTCCAGGAAATTTATTCTTATTAACTTTATATTATAACAATTTTTAAACAGAGGATACTTACAACCAATAGGCATTTTATATGGTCAGTGGTAACAAAGAGGAATACATTGGAAAAGGGCAGAACTGAAGGGTGAGAGTTAAATTAGGTGAGAAACAATGAGGATCTTTGGCCAATACATGAGGAAAATTAATGTTCTTATTTTTCTTCTAAAAAATTGGGTGTTGATCCTGCTTGCCTTATGGAGTTATTGTGAAAATGAAATAAAATATAGGAATACCTTATAAATCAAAATATAAACCATTACTGAAAATGTAAGATATCATTCTCTCTGACCTCTGTCTTCATAAGAAAACAGCATTCTAAATGTTGTGAAATACTAATGTGATATAGATAGATTGCTTTTGTATTTGTTTGCAAGTAGCGTCATTAAAATTGGAGATGAGCACCATATTTTATAGTTCTAAGTCATGTTCTGTGTTGTCTTAACCGTAGCACAGAAGTTGGGCCTCTTTGAGCCTCCCCCATTGCCACTGTCATCAGAGGAGTGGGAGAAAGTGAAGCAGCGATCCATCCTGCAGGGGGATTCTGTGCAGCCATGCCCTATATGTAAAGAAGAATTTGAACTTCATCCCCAGGTGTTAACGTGAAGAATGTTAAAGAACCCTGGGGGCGGGGTGGGGATGTTTCCTAATGACAAGATAATGAGATGGAGCTTAAAATTCCAGGCTTTCCTCTTTCCAGTTTCATCCTCCAATGTGACCTTCAATACTTAGGTTTTATTTCCCATTCATCCATGTAGATGGGAAAAAGCCAAGCACCTTTATAAATAGTTTTGTTTATTTACTGAATGATACTAATTCTCAAGTAAAAAGTACTCGAGTACAGAACAGCAAGCTGAGACAACTGACGGAGAATGCAGAGAAGCAGGAAGGATGAAAGCAAAAGGAATCTTTAAGTTATTTTGTGAGTTGCGTCATAAGAGAAAAGTAAAAACTATGCTGGAATATCTTCTTCAAAGAATTTGTGGGAGAATTTTTTTTTTTTTTAAGATTTATTTTACTTACTTGAAAGAGTTACAGAGAGAGGTAGAGACAGAGAGAGAGGTTTTCTATCCACTGATTCACTCCCCAGATGGCGGCAGTGGCTGGAGCTGTGCCAGTCAGGAGCCAGGAGCTTCTGCCGGGTCTCCCACGAGGGTACAGGGGCCCAAGCACTTGGGCCATCTTCTACTGCTTTCCCAGGCCATAGCAGAGAGCTGGATCGGAAGAGAAGCAGCCGGGACTCGAACCGGTGCCCATATGGGATGCCGGTACCTCAGTCCAGGGCTTTAACCCACTGCGCCGCAGCGCCAGCCCCAAGAGAATCTTAAGAAATGTTCAATCATTTACTGTCTATTCATGAAACTATCATAATAAGGGTCATGATATTACCCTGGATTTATGGCTGGAATATAATCCATAACAGAGGTATGCTTCAGCACAGATGTTGTCTGCTCACTAAGTTGTCTTCTTTGGGAAGTTATGAACACACATTTTCAGAATTTTATTCCTCCTAGTGGTTGCTGTACAGTGATTTTCCACAATCTATAGCATCATGCTTCCTACCTGTCAGGTACTTGGAGGCTTGCTGAGATACACGGCAGATGCGCTGAATTCAGGCATAGAATTCATAGCCTAGGAAACATAGGCTTCACTTAGCACACCACTACATACGCTTTCAGTGGTCAATGGTAATTTGTTTCAATATGTTTCATCATCAAGTAGTTAAGTGTGCAGTCATTAAGTACACAATTTACCCTTAAACCTACTTATTTCAGATTATTAAGATCTAACCTTATATATGTGAAAGTGGTTATTTTGGAAAGGTTTTAGCTCTTAAATCATAGAATTAACCATCTGGTATAATTTAGTACTTTAGCAAGATTTAATGAAGCTATAAAGAATCTTTCTGGCATCAGCAACATTTTTCCTAATTACATTATTAATATTTGGCTTGTTTATATGAATATTGAAAATGTAAAATTAATTATTTTAAGGACAGAGTTGTCAGAGTACATCCTTCTCAGTATTTCTCCCATTCTGTATTTTTTATACATAGATTTCTCACTAAATTCTATTGTTTTTGCTTATCTATAAATACAGGCACAGTTCTGTTTATTTTGCATTTCCTTCTTTAGTTTCTGTGTTTAGATTTTTTCCCTAGTTACAAACAGTAACATTTTCCCAAGACTTAGTGATTTGGAAGGGTCTTCGGTTAATGTCACATATCTCAGAGGTAAGCATTATACTCATTTAATACATCAGAAAATTAGTAGTTCAAATATCCACAGTCAGCCAACTCAGAATGTATGGTAGAGTTCAGCTGGAATTTATTTGTAACTTCCAGGATATTTTTGGTCTAAATTCCACCATTTAATCTGCTATTTTTGTTGTATCAAAGAATGCTTACCAATTAACAAATATTTATGATCATTTAAAGTATAGTTAAATATATGAAATATAGTGGTATTTAATATAGATTATCAAATATCTGTTGGCTAAAACACTTTGAAAGAGCATAGAGAATGATAATCACTTGTTATCAAGATGGCGCTGGAAGTGAAGAAGGAAGCTCCTGCTCCTCTCAAAGCAAAAGCTTTGAAGGCCAAGAAGGCCGAGCTGGAAGGTGTCCACGGCCACAAGCAAGACTACGTGTCACCCATGTTCCAGGTGCCCAAGACACCACACCTCCGGCAGCAGCCCAAATATCCTTGAGAGCATTCACAGGAGAAAGAAGCCATCATCAGGGTCCCCCTGACCACTGAGTCTGCCATGCAGAAAACAAAAGACAACACACTCATATGTACTGTAAGTCTGAGGGCCAACACTGCCAGATCAAACAAACTGGGAAGACACTCTGGGATGTCAGTGTGGCAAAAGTCAGTGCTACAGTCGGGCCTGTTGGAGGAGAGAAGGCACGTGTTTGACTCACTCCTAATGATGATGCTTTGTGTGTCGCCAGTAAAACAGGCGTGGTCTAAATTGAGCCCCGATGGCTAATTCTGAATATATGTTTTTTCACCATAAAAAAACAACAAATAATTGAGTATATAAAAGATTGTTGTGAGAATAAATGGTGCCGACATCTTCACCAGGTCCCCTGCCAGGGGATGCCATCTTGCCAGGAAGAGACGCAGACATCAGTGTGGGAACACAGGAAACATGAAGATTCAAGGAAGTATGACACCTCCAAAGGAACGGTTCTCCACAAATAGACCCTAATGTTAAGGAAATCCATGAAATACCTGAAAAACAATTCTAAATAATGACCTAAGGAAACTTAGTGAGATGCAAGAGAATACAGATAGACAGTTTTAAGAAGTGAGGAAAGCAATAGATAACATGAACGAATAGGAGTAGAAATCATGAAAAAGAACCAAAGAAATTTTGGAGCTAAAAACTTCAGTTGGTGAAACAAAAACACAATTGAGAGCTCCCACAGCAGAACAGAACAAATAGAAGCAGTAATTTCTGATCTGGAGGACAAGACTTTTGAAATAAGTCAGACAAAGATAAAGAAGAATGTAAAAGAATGAAGAAAGCCTACTCAACATGTGAACATGTGATACCATTAAGCAAACAAATATTCATATATCATAAGGATACCTGAAGGAGAACATAAAGCAAAAGGCATTGAGAACCCACTAAATGATATAATAGCTGAAAACTTCCCAAATCTTGAAAATGGTAATAGTCATCCAGATACAAAAAGCTCAAAGTCTTGAGACTCAACCAAAAAAGATCTCTGAGGCATATTACAAGTCAAATTGTCAAAAGTTGAGGACAAAGAAATCTAAAGAAAGAGGAACATGCCAAGTTGCAAATAAAGGAAAACCAATTAGACTAACAGACTTCTAAGCAATAACCCTACAGGCCAGAAGAGAATAAGATTGTGTAGTTAAGATCTTAACAGAAAAAACATCCAACCAAGAATATTATATCCAGTGAAGCTATCCTTTAGACGTGAAGGGAGAAATAACCTATTTCCCTTGGAAGTAAAAACAGAATTTTTCACCAGCAGACCACCCTTAAAAGAAATCCTGAAGAGAGTCCTACATTCAAAATAAACACAGGATAGTACCAAATTGACTAACAGAGCAGATACAATCAGTAACCAATCAATGAAGTGACAGGACTTAGTTCTTTATCTGTCAGTATTAACATAGAATGTAATGAATTAAATTCCCTAGTCAAAATATACAGATTGGCAGAATAGATTTTAAAAAAAGAAAAAGAAGGTCTCGTGTATATTTCAAACAAAAAAAGTAACTTCACAGGTAAGATACACATAGACTGAAAGTGAGGGCTGGAAAAAGATATACCATGCAAATAGAAACAAAAAATGAACAAGAGTAGTTATACTCATTTCAGATCAAACACTATAAAAAGGGGCCAGTGTGGCATAGCAGGTAAAGCCAAAACCGGCATCTCATATGGGTCCCAGCTGCTCCACTTCTTATCCAGCTCCCAGTTAATGGCCTGGGAAACAGCAGAAGGTGGACCAAGAGTTTGGGCCGCTGCCACCATGTGAGAGACCTGGATGAAGCTCCTGGCTCCTGACTTCAGCCTGGCTCAGTCCTGGTTGTTGCAGCCGTCTGGGGAGTGAACCAGCAGATGGCAGATTCTCTGTCTCTCTGTAACTCTGACTTTTGAATAAAAAATCTTTTTAAAAAATACATAAAAAGAGACAAAGAAAGATATGCTTTGATAAAAAGACCTATTCAGCAAGATGTAACAATCATAAATATATATGCGCCCAATGAAAGAGCACCGACATATTTATAGCAAATGTTATTAGACCTAAAGGGAGAGATAAATTCAAATATAGTAATAGTCGGGGTGGGGTGGGGACATGCCATTTAGACAGAAATATCAACAAAGACATGTGAGAGTTGACCTATACTATTAAACCAATGGACCTAATAGATATTTACAGGACATTTCACCCAACAGCTACAGAAAAACATTGTTATCAGCACATGGAACATTTATTTTCTAGAATAGATTGGATATTAGGCCACAGATCAAGTCTCAGCAAATTTTAAGATTGAAATCATGCCATGTATATTCTCAGACCACAAAGGAATAAAACTAGAAATCAACAAGAATATACAATTTACTACATAGAAATTAAACAACATGTTCCCAAATGACCAGTACATCATTGAAAAAATTAAAAAGGAAATAAAAAACCTTGTTTTTAAAAAACTATGTATTTATTAGTTTGAAAGTGTTACAAAGAGAGGAGAGACAGACCTTCCATCAGCCTATTCACTCCTCCTAAATGGCTGCAATAGCCAGGGCTGAGTCAGACTAAAACCATGAGCCTGGATCTCCATCAGACTCCCCTGTGGGTGGCAGGGGCCCAAGTACCTGGGCTATCTGCTGCTTTTCCAAGTGTGTTATCAGGGAGCTGGATGGGAAGTGGAACAGCCAGGATTCAAACCAGCACCCATATGGGATGCCAGTGTTGCAGGTGGTGGCTTAACCCATTACACCACAACACCAGCTCCAAAAACTTTCTTGAAACAAATGAAAATGGAAACAATATATCAAAACCTGTGGGATAAATCAAAAGCAATATTAAGAGAGAATTT